CACAAGCACATGTGACTCCCTGCTAGTCTAAGTTTGATCTAATTGTTTCTTCGTTTCCTTGTTACTCTTATTTCGTGTTGATAAGAACAGGAGGTTGGAACTGGCTAGGTGGTTTAGGGCCCTGGAGAAAAGTGACCAGTTGCTTATCCAAAAGCTGGGAATGTCCTCTGGACTTTCAGGAGTTGGAGGCCAGAGATGACGTTAGCGTGTCAGCCCAAATGTCTCTGGTTTCACGGTAGCCAGAGGAAGGAGACACCAGAAAGGGAGTCTAGTTTATATATATCTTTCCCCCTAAAGGAGACCCCTTTTCTGGAGACCATGCTAAGGTTGTGACCGAGACTAGAAGGCATCAGGCATGGGAACTGGACCGGCCAGCTCAAACCCAGTTCACTCAGTCACTGAAGCCTTAGGAAGGAGGCCAAGACAGCAGGGCTCATTGGTACCCTGTTTCCTGGGACCACTCCCTCGGTAGATGTCCCCTGTTCTTTCTTCCCTCATCCTCTTTTCTTTATAAGCATCTACCTATGAATCTATAATGAACTTTTCTCTCTATAACTTATCTTTTGTGGTCCATGACTTTTATTCATCCAACTCATAAAGCAAGAACTCCAAAGCCACCAGTGTGGAAAGGTTTTGATGGCTTAAATTTCTGAGACCTTAGCTCCCTGAGAAAGTACCTGTCGCTCTCAAATACACTCTTCCCACATCAACATTTCCCTCAGTTCAGTAGCTGGCACACAGGAACAGAGAATCTTGAGAGAAACTGAGGCAGGACAAACCACTGAGGAAATTCCACTCACTGCATGTTTTGATACAAATAACATTTGAGGCCTCATATCACAATATGGTTTAAGAATAGTATTTTGTGGGATCGGAGAGATAGCTCAGTGGTTAAGGGCACTTGTTGCTCATGCAGAAAACCAAAGTTTGGTTCCTAGCACCCACCCGGTGGTCCATAACCATCCATAATTCAAGTTTTTGGAGATCTGATGCCCTCTTCTGACCTCTACAAGCACCAGACATGCATGTGATACACATACATATGAGTGGGTAAAGAACCCATAGATAGAGAATAAAATAAATAACCTGAAAGAATAAAATTAAATAGTTATCTTAGCATGTAGCTCAGTGGTAGATGGATGCTTAGCATGCACAAAGCCCAGAGTTCCATCCTCAGAACTCAAATTAACAAGCAAGCAAGCAAACAAACAAACAAACAAAAAACCCCATAATATCATATACTATATGATATTATTATATTAATAACAGAATTCATTAAAGATTGCATTTATTGATTAAGCTTATTCTTGGACAATTTCATAAATGTCCATAATGCGTTCTGATTACTCGCAGTCGGCATCCTCTCATCTCCCTCCCCTCCTGTCACCACCTCCCCACACGTCCTTTCCCCACACTCTTGTGTGTTTATTTTCTTTATGACCCATTGATTTTCACCAAGGCTGTGTGACCATGGGTTTGGAACTCCACTGGAGCCTGGTGGGCTCACTGTTGGGTGAACAACTAAAGACGGTGACTGAGCCTTGCCAGAATCCATCAGACTTTCAGGGGAACCACAAAAGGTGGTTCTTTTTTTTTTGGTTTTTCGAGACAGGGTTTCTCTGTGTAGCTTTGCGCCTTTCCTGGAACTCACTTGGTGGTCCAGGCTGGCCTCGAACTCACAGAGATCCGCCTGCCTCTGCCTCCCAAGTGCTGGGATTAAAGGCGTGCGCCACCACCGCCCGGCTTGGTGGTTCTTTTTGAAGTCTTAAAAATAAAGCCTTAATAATAAAAAATGGTAAGTACTTTAAAATAACTTTCATTTCAACCATATGGGAAAGTTGCAGGGATAGGACAAGAGGCTTCTCCAAACCCAGAGATTCCCATTCAAACACCATCAAAGGTCCCCTCAGGCTTTTACAGCAAAAGGGTCACATTGTATGCTTGTCTTACACTCCCCCATCTCCTGTCTTCTCTCTGCCCTTCATAGTCTGTGCCTGTTTGAAGGATTTACCCGACAGTCATCGGGCACGGTGTCCATCCACATGGCTGTGCACCAGGCTTTCTTGTGATGCAGCTTAGGGTTTTCTAGGTTAGCAGGGAGAGTATAGAGGAGATGCTATCTTCTCATTGCACCCAAGAGAAGATGGGGAGCACACCAGGCCAATTAGTCCCACTAATGGCCACTTTAATTTTGATTACTTGGTTAAGATGGTGTCTGCTAGGTTCTTCCCATACAGACGCCTCTTTTACCCCCTTTGCATGAGTTACTTTCCGAGAGACACTTTTAGAACTCTGTTAATATTTCATTCCTCATTATACTTATATCCCTTAGTTCCACCATCTATCGATGTTTCTTGGCAGAATTGAATATTTTTATGATTATTTCAAAATCATGTTTTTCAAATTCCAATATTCCTACTATATTGTTATTTGGCATCTTCCTGTTAGGCAAAAACTCTCTATGCAGTTTTAAAGTTAATTTAAAAAATTAATTTTATGTGTATAGGTGTTTTCCCTGCATGTATGTCTGTGTACCATATGTTTGCAGTACCCATGGAGGCCAGAAGAGGCATCAGATCCTCTGGAACTGGAGTTAGTTATAGGCCACCAGGAGGGTGCTGGGAATTCAACTCACATTCTTTGGAAGAGTAGCCAGTGCTCTTAACCTCTGACCCCTCTCTCTAGACTCTCTCTCTCTCTCTGTATTTTTTTTCTTTTTTCTTTTTTTAGAAAGGAAGAAGTGCACTGGTTTGTAATCATGTAAATGCACAGGTCTAAAATGTTTAGTTCAATGGGCTTGAGAATTGCATATACTCAAGTATAGCTACCTAAAATAAAATGGAGAGATATTTCTATCCTTCTAGAATATTCTCTCATGCAAGAGAATTCATCTATTAACTGACATCCTTAAGCCCAGTCTCCCATCACTGCACCTCTGAAAGCCAGATCACTTGGTTTACAACTTTGTCAGCAAGATTTGCATGGCAGCCTCAAACTCCTCTCATCCCCCTCCATGCTCATCCCATTATTGGCCTTTCCTTATTCTCCATCTTCATTATGTAGAACAACTTGGCCCTTCTTGGCTTCATCAGTTTTCTCTTGTTTCCACCCATCATCGGGATTTTCCATAATAAAGCAGAACCTGGAAGTTATGCTGCCAGCAAGAATCCCTCTCTTTAGGACAACAAGGGGAGGGAGGACCACTGCTATTCTATGGTATTCCCCTTGTCATTAGAACACAGTGTTCCTTAGAAGCTTGGTTTGAGAATCACTGTCCGATGGGAGCATTTCTCAAGTGATCTATGGGGACCTTTGAGTGTATGGCTAGAGAACAAGACCACCTAGCTAACGAAAGGCAGTTGTTATTTTTTCTGAGCTTGATGAAGCAGAACAATCAGCTGGTAACATTAGTATTTGGGGTAACATTAGTATTTGGCAGAGACTCAAGATGAGACCGAGGAATGGGAAGGCTTTATAATATAAAAGAGGGAAGAAGCCTTGATTGGTTGTTGGCATAGCATGGATAGAGGCAGGCTAACTGGATGTGGGACATCCTACATAATTGGTTAGGGCAGTGGTTCTCAGCCTTCCTAATGCTGCCACCCTTTAATATGGTTCATCATGTTGTGGTGACCCCACCCAGCCATAAAATTATTTCCATTGCCACTTCATAACTGTAATTTTGCTGCTGTTATGAATAGTAATGTAAACAACTGTGTTTTCTGATGGTCTTAGGTGACTCCTGTGAAAGGGTCATTTGACCCCCAAAGGGGTCATGAACCACAGGTTGAGAACACCTGGGTTATGGGTTTCTGTAGTAGAACCAATTGCTACAGAGGTGTGCATTGGATGGCTTCTTAGACTGGCTGCCACAGAGATTGTGGGTCATGACTCTACTGTTATATACAGCCCAGTCATTGTCCATATATGCACCCATGTCTCTCGGAGTGAACAATGTATCAGAGAGCTATGAATGTGTGATTGCTCAGAGCTCTCCCAAGCAGCAGCATCAGTGACGGTCTATTTCTCTTCTCCTCTTCAACTGAGTTCTAACTTGTGATTTCGTATCAGCTTCCAGCCCCTAAAAATGAAACATGCCTAGATAGATAAATGATGTGGATGAATGAATGCTGATTTGACATGATAGAAGAGAGAGGGTCAAGGACATCTCTACTGTCACAGTTTGAGTGACCAGGAAGACCTTATTATGAATAGCAGCTAAAAGGTGAATTAGGAAGAAACTAGTCATTTTTGTGACAGATGTTGAGTTCAGTTTGAGGTCCATTAAAGTGGAAGGTGAGTCCTTGAAAATATTCTTTAGGTTCCTCTGTGTACCAAGTGGAATATCATTTTACTTATTTTAATCTTTATTCAAGTGTGTTATATGTGTGCCTGTATGAGTTTATGTGCACCTTGTATGTATAGGTACCTATCTTTGAAGGCCATAAGCTGACATAAGATCCCCCAGAACTGGAGTTACACATAATTGTGAGTCACCTGATAAGAGTGAGTGCTGGGAACAGAACCTGGGTCCTCTGCAAGCACAGTTAGTGCTCTTAGAAGCTGGGCCAGTCCCCCTGGCCCCAGGAACAGAGAGTAGAGGATTGTCATAACTTCATGTATCAAGGACACAGAGTGAAATAGGAGCTTCAGTCTTCTGGTGATCTGTCTATAACATACCAAAACACAAAGCAAGAAAAAAATGGAGAATAAGAGGCTCAGACAGTAATCGTCATGATTCTTGCAGAGGCATTAATGAACTATTTGTGCTACTAAGAAAAAAAAAATGTGCTATTCTGAAGAAAGCACCCACCAAAGATTTCACAATGGACTCAGGGGAGTGGAGTAAATGATTAAAAAAAACGGAATTCTCTCAGTTCTTTCCAAAGCACAGCACTTTAGCTTCTGTTTACAGAAATGAAAGCACATCCCCAAAGTGGTTTAATATTTAAGCACTTCTCTATTTGTGTGTCTCCCTTCAGCAGAGGACGCTGCTTTGGTGGCGCTGGCGAGACCCACCCACGATGATTTTCCCGGGGCTCATCTTGTTCTTATTCTCGACTTTGCTGTGCCACGTTGCTATTGCGGGACGGAGTGAGTACCTCTTGCCTTTGAGAGAATAGTATCTCTAACTCAGGGATTTGTGTCAGAGACAAATAATGATGGCTGGAGAGATGGCACTGGTACTTGTCCAATATCACTGTTCTTTTTTTTTTTTTTTGGTTTTTCGAGACAGGGTTTCTCTGTGTAGCTTTGCGCCTTTCCTGGATCTCACTCTGTAGACCAGGCTGGCCTCGAACTCACAGAGATCCACCCGGCTCTGCCTCCCGAGTGCTGGGATTAAAGGCGTGCGCCACCACCGCCAGGCAATATCACTGTTCTTAAAGCTCCTTGGCAGGATAGTCAGCACACTGACCTGTAACACGTAGAGAACAGAAAGGCCTCTTTCAAATGGTCGTTGAGGTCCAATGAGATCTTGCATAGGAAGTATTTGGTACAGAACTGGGCAGACCTACAATTTGTAGTGTGCTTTCCTTGTATGCTGGATGACCTTAAACACTTGAATTGAGATTTTTTTAAAAAACCATCTGTCTTGTGTTCTGTTTCAGCCTGTCCCAAGCCAGATGACGTACCATTTGCTGTGGTTGTTCCATTAAAAACATTCTATGAACCAGGGGAGCAGATTGTCTACTCCTGCAAACCAGGCTATGTGTCCCGGGGAGGGATGAGACGATTTACCTGTCCTCTCACGGGAATGTGGCCCATCAACACCCTGAAATGTACACGTAAGTCTGAAATTTCTCTCCAATTCTCTCCCCTCATTTGGGTTCTGGATATTTGGTGGGAAAAACTCAGGGTTCTCAGGGCTGGTGGGGGGTGTCACACACACACACACACACACACACACACACACACACAGACACACACACACCATTATTTAGAAAAGAGGACACCTAAGGAGAGTCGAGAGAGAGAGAGAGAGAGAGAGAGAGAGAGAGAGAGAGAGAGAGAGAGAGAGAGAGGAGAGAGGAGAGAGAGGAGAGCTGGATTGACTGATTAGTGGAGAGGAAAGCATAACACAAGTTAAAAGACAAATAGAGAAATATTGACAGATGAACTATTGCCAAAGAGACTCATGGGTAAACAGAATATGGGAAATGATCATATCTTTGGACTTTGCCTCAGAATGGAAACATATTTAGTATTTACTGAGCTGAGTATAATTGTATACATATACTTACAATAAAATATAAACATCTTACACATTGTTAACATAAATTTCAGAACACATTATTTTATGATAAATGGTTGTCTTCATTTATTCCTCAGAACATGGCTTATGATCATGGTAGCCTTTTTTTTTTTAACATGGAGTCATGTATTCCAGTCTATCCTCAAACTTACTAGGTAGCTGAGGATGAACTTGAACTTCTGATCCTGCTGCCTCTGCCTCCTGAGTGTTGGGATTACTTACGGATGTGAACCACCATGCCCAGCACTTAGCCTAATTTTTATGGTAAAATATTAAGCAATCAACCAGATTGAGTTTCTGGCAATCTTGTATAGTAGTAAAAATAGATAGGTGGAGCAATCAGGGCTCTAATTATTTTGATTATATAGATATGACCTTTATCATAATTATATACGTTCCTGCAAGTGATTCAAGTTTATTCTTTATCTTTATAAATCTATGTGGTATTGTTGGAGGCACTAGGGATTAAATCTAGAGACTTGTATAGGCTAAGAATGTATGCCACCACCAAGGTACACTCTTAGCCCTTAAGCATGAATTTAATGAAAAATCACTTTAAATCAGCAATAATTCTGATCATTAATGTCATTTTCAACGTATTTTCCACATGCTTTTTGCATCACTGTAGAGAATATATATAATTTTGTTTTTCTATTTCTGTCAGCATATTATAAAAATTGACTGTCTCCATAACCTGTATAATCTTGTGTTTTATTGACTGCATAGTAGTTCAATTGGTGGTTTAGTTTCTCTAATTAAAACAATCCCATGACAGTGACCATTTAGACTGCTCAAATTCTGTTATAAAGACTATGTCAACACATGTATTATTCGTCTCATTTTGATTGCTTTCTTAGAATAGTTAGTAGTAGCTATTGGATCAAGGATGGAATTGAGTTTACATATTTATACTTCAACAGAAATTTGCCAGTTTTTCTCTTTAAATCGCAGGCAGAGTGTGTCCTTTTGCTGGAATCTTAGAAAATGGAATTGTACGCTATACAACTTTTGAATATCCCAACACCATCAACTTTACCTGTAACCCTGGGTAAGGACTCTAGTAAGGTGAAGCAGCAGGCAGACAGAGAACATTTTGGATTCTTTAGCTAAACATCACAATTGCTCTGTATTTTATGTTTAGCCTCTGGGTGGGACTTGCTGGAAACAAATACATGTTAGTCCTGCTCTTAACAAACACTGTGATGATGTTGAGGGTGGTGTAAGAAATGGAACATTACCTGGAACACAAGAGGAAATCAGCACTCCAGCTTCTGTGCTCCTCACTGATGCTTTATCTGAGGAGACACAGTGAGATGAGTGAATCCGACTGATAATCCCTTCTCATCTCTGGGCAAGATCTTAGCATATGATTAAAATATAACAGGAAGCAATTTGGATTTTAGCTAGGAGACTGATTAACTAATGTGGTAGTTGGTCTTTAGAAGGGATTTCTATGAAGAAGGTTCAGATGCAATGATACAGAACTTACTTTTTTTTTTTTAATGATTTTTGTCTTAGTCAATGTCCTATTGCTGTGAAGAGATACTATGACTATGGCAACTCTTATAAAGAACAGCATTTAGGGCTGGAGAGATGGCTCAGAGGTTAAGAGCACCGACTGCTCTCTTCCAGAGGTCCTGAGTTCAATTCCCAGCACCCACATGGTGGCTGACAACCATCTGTAATGGGATCTGGCGCCCTCTTCTGTATACATAATAAATAAATAAATCTTAAAAAAAAAAAACCCAGCATTTAATTGGGGCTGGCTTACAGTTTCAGAGGTTTAGTACATTACTGTGGAAAGCGTGGTAGCATGCAGGCAGACATGGTTCTAGAGAAGGAGCTGAGAGTTTTATATCCAGATCTGCAGGCAGGAGAGAGAGAGAGAGAGAGAGAGAGAGAGAGAGAGAGAGAGAGAGAGAGAGAGAGGAGAGAGAAACAGAGACAGAGACAGAAAGATACTAGATCTGGTTTGGAATTTTTTGTTTTGTTGTTTTTCAAGACAGGGTTTCTCTGCATTGCCCTGTCTGTCCTGGAACTTGCTCTGTAGACCAGGCTGGCCTCAAACTCACAGAGATCTCCCTGCCTCTGCTTCCCAAGTGCTGGAATTAAAGGCGTGCACCACCACTGCCAGGCTCTGGCTTGGGCTTTTGAAACCTCAAAGCCCACCCCCAGTGACACACTTCATCCAACAAGGGCACATCCCCTAATCCTTTCAAATAGTGCACTCCCTGATGACTAAACATTCAGATATATGAGCCTATGGGGGCCATTCTCATTCAAACCACCACATATTTATAATTCTGTGTCTGTGTGTGGATAAGCACACATGAGTGTGGGTCCCCACAGAGGTCACAAGAGGGAGTTACATACTGGGGTTATCCGAAGAGGTCTGGAATTACAGGTGAGCTGTCCAACACAGCTGCTAGACTTCCAACTCTGGTCGTCTGCAAGGGCACCTTGCTCCTAACCGTGTAGCCATCACTCCAGCCCACATGCTTGTTTAATGTAGTGCCACAACTTCATATGTGGTTTGTCATACAATTCATCTGTTTTACAAGAAATGACACCAATGTGACACTGTTGAGAACATGCTGCTTGTCCTAGTTAGGGTTTCTATTGCTGTGAAGAGATATCATGACCATGGCAACTCTTATAAAGGGAAAACATTTAATCAGGTAGCTTACAGTTCAGAGGTTCAGTCCATTATCATCATGGTGGAACATGGCAGTGTGCAGGCAGCCATGATGCTGAAGAGGTAGCTGAGAGTTCTACATCTCACAGGCAACAGGAAGTAAACTGAGACACTGGGCAGTATCTTGAGCACAGGAGACCTCAAAGTCTGCCCTCATAGTGAAACACTTCCTTCAGCTAGGCCACACCCACTCCAACAAGGACAAACCTCCTAATAGTGCCACTCCCTTTGGGGGACATTTTCTTTCAAACCACCACACTTCTGTACACTGTGACAATTTTTTTTTTGAAGATCCTTGTTTGAGACTTGGAAATGCCATTTGTGAAGGAGAAACATAGGACTTTGCACAGAAATACCAAGTTTGTGGTGGGGCTGATCATAAATACTCCTGGCCGGGCGGTGGTGGCTCACGCCTTTAATCCCAGCACTCGGGAGGCAGAGGCAGGTGGATCTCTGTGAGTTCAAGGCCAGCCTGGACTGCCAAGTGAGTTCCAGCAAAGGCGCAAAGCTACACAGAGAAACCCTGTCTCCAAAAACCAAAAAAAATAAAAAAATAAAAAAATAAAAATAAAAATAAATACTCCTGAAATGATAGAGCTGTACTTGAATTGGCAATGATGTCATGCATTGTTTAAACATATTCATGCCAGCAGTCCTGAGATAATGAACATTACAGCTCGTTTCATTGCATCATCCTGTAAAAGAGCTGGTTCTCAGCCTTATGTAGGGAACCAATAACTTGGCCGACTGGTTGGAATGAGGATTTAGGGGCATGACCTCCACACTCACCAACTACAGAAACCTGCAGTGATTTTTCTCTTTTTGCCTGAAGTTTTGGCTGGACCACTCCATGAGTCCTAAGAACCAGAGACCCTTAGAAAAACAGCACCATAAGATGGGAAAGAGGTCAATATATTGAGAAGTATAATGGCTCAAGACTACAGTGACAGCTAGTGGGGAAACTGAGGTAGAGGTCCCTTGAGTGTTCTTACTTGGCAATATAGTGAGACTCTGCCTCAAAACAAGTGAATAGGGTTAAGGGTGGGTGTCTCAGTGGTAAAATGTTATTCGAATTTTAGATGGTCTTTTAATAAAAACCCAGAGCCAAATATCAGGGTGGAAACTGAAAGATAAGAGAAGCAGAGCAGTCAGCCACTAGTTCTTACCTCTATGAAATCCTCAGTTTAAAGAGAGTGAGTTCCTGTTTCCTAACGCCTTATATACATTTCTTTGCCCATACATCACTTCCTGGGATTAGAGGCATGTATGCTTCCCAATACTGGGATTAAAGATGTATGCCACTACAGCCTGGCCCTGTTTCCAGTGTGGCCTTGAACTCACAGAGATCCAGATGGATCCCTCCTTCCAAGTGATAAGATTAAGGGTGTGTGCCACAACTGCCTGACCTCTATGTCTAATCTAGTAGCTGGCTCTGTCCTCTGATCCTCAGGCAAGTTTATTAGGGTACACAATATATCACCACAATAAAACTCGTATTTTCTACATATAAGCCCTTGAATGCAATCCCTAGCATGGTTGTGATGCCCGGGAGATACTTTACTGGTTAATACATTACATTTCCCTCTTTTCAGGTTTTATCTGAATGGAACTAGCTCTGCTAAGTGCAACGAGGAAGGAAAATGGAGCCCAGAGCTTCCTGTCTGCGTTCGTGAGTCTCTAGGTCCCACTTGAGAGTTAAGGGACAAGTTGGTTTGTCCCTTGACAAATGATTGAATGTGCTTGAGTGTGCACACCAGTCACCAGGCATCTTGCTAACATGTAGATGCTGATTCAGGCATCCCAGGTGTGCTCTAAGCCTTTCTCAGGCTGCCCGGCAATTCCCTGACTCCCAGTCCATGGAGCACTCTTTGAGATGGGAGGACTGAGATAGGTCATGTTAAATAACATTTTCTTCAGCAGTGTCTTTATGTTGGTGTAGCTTTCCCTGAATTTGTTAAAACTGTATTTATTAAGGCAGGATGATAAGCCACTGCCTTGTCTTGTGTCCTTGCATCTGAATGTGTCAGCCTCCATGTGTTCAGTCATTAAACACCAAAGCAGGAGGTGTTTAATAAAAACAAGCAAATTGTACTAGGGGCAGAACTCAGATGTCACAAATAACATGGCACCAAGTACTTCACGATAGTTTCTCAGCAATGTCTTACATACATTCTGATTTCCAGAAACATCTTTCAAGGTAGCCTTTAGGTCAAAGATGTGTAGAATACTGGCTGCAAAAGTCAAATTAACTATGCCAAAACAAAAATATTGCTGCTGCAGTCTCTACTTCCTCCTCCTCCTCCTCCTCCTCCTCCTCCTCCTCCTCCTCCTCCTCCTCCTCCTCCTCCCTCCTCCTCCTCTCTCCTCCTTCTTCTTTGGCACATTATCTGACTGGTTGGCACATTTGATTTGACTTTTTCTTACTCGTCATCAACAAAGGGCTGTTTTTACCCTATTATCAAAGTTTATGTTTCCTTAGCTTCATTCTCATATTCTCTTTCATTCTGAAAAGAGTGTGTTTTAATTTTTAAGTTATATTTATTTATTTGGCCTATGTGTAAAGGTCTGGAGACTATTTGTGGAAGTCAGTTTTCTCTTTCACTATGTGGGTCCTGTGGACTAAATTCCAATCATCAAATGTAGCATCAAGTTATTTGTTTTTATACACAGAGACATCTTGCCAGCCCAGAGTTTATTTATTCCTTTATTTATTTGAGACAATGTCTCACTATGTAAACCAGGCTGACTTCAAACTCAAATATCCACCTCCCTTCAAAGAGTGCATTGCAAACCTCAATAATTTTCATAGAGATAAGAGTGATCTCTCTTTGCAGCTATGGCCTGCCCACCACCACCAGTTCCTAAGTCTGCAACCCTTAAGGCTCACAAGTCATCAGCTGGGAACACCTCGCTCTATGGGGACACAGAAGTCTTTGAGTGCTTGCCACAACATGCCATGTTTGGAAATGACACAATTACATGCACAGCCCATGGAAACTGGACTAAATTGCCAGAATGCAAGGGTAAGTGGTTAAGTCAAAATAACTAGAGTGGCATAGGAGCACATGTTTGAAAGTGTTGAATATTCCAAATTCTCTTCCTTGATGAACTTTTAAAATTATTATTTTTTGTTTCGTTTTAAGAAAGAGTCTCATGTATCTCTTGTGTCACTTTTCCTAGAGAGACATCGACACTATTTATTCAGCCCAGATCAGGCACCAATGATAGACCAAAGAAATGACACCACCCATGTCTAGCCTAGGGAACTAGCGAGTTTATCGGAGCAAAAGTGAGGGGTTACATGACTACTCCATGAGTAGCTCAAATGTAACTGCATCACTGCAAAGTTCAGCATGCATGGGTGATAACTTCAGAAGGCTGCATCCCCGGTCCTCTCTGCCCAGCTTGCAGTTGTGCCAGTAGCAGGAGAGTTTTCCCTCTGCCAGCATTCGCTCCTGTTTCCACAACCTTTAGAGGGGCTGTGTACATTCCTTTCGTTTCTTGGAGCTTATGAACATCTCTCCCCCGCTTTAGGAAGGGAAAGTTTCAATCCAGCAGAAAGTTCTATACAACAATAGCCCCAGGTTGATCTTAAACTCACTCTGTAGCTGAGACTGGTCTCAGATTCCCGATCCTCCTGTCTCCACCCCCCAAATGCTGAGATTATAGGTGTGCACCACCACACTATATTTCTATTGAGCACCTACCATGTGTCGGGCAGTGTGTTTTGTACCAGGGATAACAGATGAATGAGTTCATCTTCTGACTTGCAGTGAATTAAATATTGTGCAATTAATAGTCCAAGACTGACCGAGTGGTATTTCCAGAGGTCAAGACCCTTGACATGGGCTTTGTATCATGAATGGAAGACAAAGGAAAGGCATGCTTTATAGGGTCACATCACTTGTAAAGCCAGAGGCATGAATGGACTTGTGTTTGGTGACAGCTGGACACCAGTGAGGCTGGGGAAAAGATGCCTGGATTAACGGATAGAGGTTTTAAAAACTGGGCTATAGTCTGATTGATGGCTATGACTTTATAATCTATCTAAATTTAAGAATCATCGCAGCATCTTTTTAATCTGGTTTATTGATTAGAAAAAAAGACTTCCCCCCTCTTCTTTCATACCCACTTTTTAGACCATAGAAATTTGTGACAATTAACACTTCATGATGAAAACTCAAAACCCAAAGAGATAGCAGGGCGTCGTTATTTACTTTCAAAATGTATTTCTTTCTTCTATTTCCTTTCCTTTCTTTCTTCTTTAATATTCAGCGTTCCATAAGTATAAGAGAATTGGGACAGAATTAAGCACTGAGCACCTAGAAACTGCATTTCACTCACAGGACTATCCAGTGACTTCACGGTACAATGGAAGGAAGAATGTAGCCATTTTGCAGCCGTCAGTCAACACTGTTAGCTACTAACATGTCTTATTGAATATACTTTGTAGAAGTAAAATGCCCCTTCCCCTCGAGGCCAGACAATGGGTTCGTGAATTATCCTGCAAAGCAGGTGCTTTTTTATAAGGATAAAGCCACATTTGGTTGCCATGCTACATATACACTGGATGGCCCAGAAGAAGTGGAGTGCACCAAGATGGGAAATTGGTCTGCTCTGCCAAGCTGTAAAGGTATGGAAATGTGGGTGAGGTCCTACAAAGTACTGAATTCATCCAGTGGATCACTCTTGTCTGCCATTTTCTTGTTCTATTTATATCCTGCTTGTTGCTCAGACTTGCTTCACAGCCATTGACATATAAAAGTCCTAAGGACTCAATAGTACTCGGAGAATTATCATGCTTAAGAAGGTTGCTTAGAATCTAGCTATAGGGAACAAACAGACTCTCTGAAGTATTGGTAATATGGTGGGAGACCATGGTTTCTGCCTGTATTTATTTTTAAATCTTCTCATAAGTACCCTTTAAAAATATTTATTTTGCAATTTTTAAATTTGTGTGCATTTGTGTGGGGGTGAGGTATGTGCACATGAGTACAGGTGCTCACAGAGACCAGGTGTTGGGTTCTCTGAAGCTGGAGTTAGAGGCAGTTGTGAGCCACCTGATGCCAAGTACTAGAACCTGAACTCTGGTCCTCTAGAAGAGTAGTGTGTGTTCTTAACCACTGAGCCATCTTTGCAGCCCAAGCATCCCCCACCCCCCTTTGGGCTCTTATTTTGTCAAGGTTCTCTTTGTCACAAAGATCAATCACACATTTAAGCTAGTTCAAGGAAATGGTGGCTTGTTATATTAAAAAAAAAAAGAAATATGCAAATGAGGAACTGAGATACAACATGCCAGTGTCCTCTCCTGCCTCTGTGTCCCTCTCTTGTTTGAACTTGGCTTGATTCTACAACAGGTAAAGCATTCATCACCAGCTGGCATCCTTTCCCTGAGATGCCATTTTTTTTAGTTGGGCATCTGTCCTTAATCCAGTCAGTGCCATGATTTGCATAATGCAATGACTATGCAAAGAACAACCACATAGCCCTCTATCTCTCTGCCTAAGCTGGACTGTTTAAACAGAAAAGGAAAGCAGGCACGAAACCAAAATGATGAATAGCTAGTGTTATAGTTTGGAATCTCTTAGAAGCAGAGTCTGGGACAGGTCTTCAAGTGCAATTGATTTATGAAGCCAGTATCCCAGAAGATATCAGGCCAGGGAAGCTAGGGTAAGCATTGGTTCTCAAGCTTTGTTGTACATCAGAGTCCCCTAGGGATGTGTGTGTGTGTGTGTGTGTGTGTGTGTGTGTGTGTGTGTGCCAGAGGTCAATGTTAGGTTTCTTCCTCAATCAGTCCATACCCCACTTTTTGAGACAGTAGTGCTCAGTGAACCTGGAGTCTGGGTGGCTGTGGCTGGCAGAGCTCCAGCATATTGTCCGTCTGCTTCTCCAGACCTCCCCTCTCACCCTAGTTTTCATGTAGGTACTTGCTGGGGTTCTGAACTCAGGTCCTTATGCTTCTGCAACAACCACTTTACTGACTGAACCATCTCTACAGCCCTGGATGACTAGTTTTTACACAGATTTCTGGGCTCCATCCTCAGAGTTTCTGATGGGGTGGATCTGGGACAGGACCTTTCATTTTGACCGAGTTCCTTCTTTTTTTTTTTGGTTTTTCGAGACAGGGTTTCTCTGTGTAGCTTTGTGCCTTTCCTGGAACTCGCTTTGGAGACCAGGCTGGCCTCGAACTCACAGAGATCCGCCTGGCTCTGCCTCCCGAGTGCTGGGATTAAAGGCGTGCGCCACCACCGCCCGGCGAGTTCCTTCTTTTTAAAAAAATATATTTATTTAAGATATGGTGTCAACAGCCTAAACAAGACCTGAACAAGGATGACAGCAAGTCACGGAAGTGGGAAATCTCACAGGGACTCAACACTAGACTAAGAACTACAGGCAACTAAGGAGTGCTGAAAGTGAGGGGAAGGGTCCTTCTTCCCCAGGGAGGAGCCCCACCCCCACCCCAGTCGGCTATCCAATACCGAGTGGTCAGCTCCGAAGTTATATACACACAAGTAACATCATATGGACTGAGCAGGTTCTATTTATGTATTTAGGAATACATATACATATATATGTAAAACAAAGAGCTTGAAAACAATTAAATTTTATTTTTTTTTTACGTTTTTTCTATTGTGTATGTCTGTTCCTGTGTGCATGCACACGCACCATGACCCACGTGTGGTCAGTCTACAACATTCTGGAGTTGATTCTTCTCTTCTGCTATGTGGTCAAGGGCATTGGGCTCCGCTCATCAAGCTTGGTGGCAAGTGCCTTTATCCACTGAGCCTCTTGCTGGCCCTGAAACAAACTTTTGATCAGGAGCCATTTGTGAGCTGTCAGCAGCTTTCACCTGTAGCAGTTGACTGATGGATGTATCAGCTCCATAAATGAGATCTGAGTGTAGACCGGCTCAGGCTTACATCCCGTTCTCTTCCACGGAAGCCAGGAAGCTGCCGCGTCTTTGACCTTATGCCATTACTGAAGGGCAGAAACGTTGACAGGGAACATCTATCATCAATCAAACTGGCATTGTACATCACACATTTTTTAGAACCCTCTTGTCTTAGTCTGTTTATCTCAGTTGTGTTCATCTACTGATTCCCAAGTTTACATTCTTTCTTTAAAAATGGTATTATGTATTTGTTATTTTGTGCACGTGTGTGTATGTATGTGGGCTCACGCACATCATAGTGCCTGTGTGGAGGTCAGAGGACAACTTGCTAAAGTTAGTTTTCTCCTTACTACGTGGGTCTTGTGGATTAAACTCAGGTCATGAGTCTTGGTGGCAGGTGCCTTTACCCACTCAGCCAGCTTCCTGAACATAAGGAATCACTATTCTCTTTAACGAAGAGTCTTGACTACAGACATCTTCCCTTTCAGCATCTTGCAAAATATCTATTAAGAAAGCCACAGTGTTGTATCAAGGAATGAGAGTGAAGATCCAGGAACAATTTAAGGACGGAATGAAGCATGGTGACAAGGTTTCTTTCTTCTGCAAAAATAAGGAGAAGAAATGTAGCTACACTGAGGAGGCAAACTGCATTGATGGCACCCTCGAAATCCCCAAGTGTTTCAAGGGTAAGGTTTCCATGGGCTGCTGTTGACTTGGAACTTCCACTTGGCTCTTGCTATCACCCGTGTGTATGCTATAGAGTGACTCTGAGAAGCTAAATTGATTTGGCTACTGGGTTTTCTTAAAAGATGCGTGATGGGGAAAAATCAGATAAAGCGGAGAGCTGCTTATAGTTTCTTGGCTTACATACACATTTTGCTTTCCAGTGTTTTTCATTAAACCTCGAGGTTGTAGTTTTCCTTGCTGACTGCTGAGGTGAATTAAACCATATTCTGTGATTCCAAGTTTAGTGTGAAAATGAACAGAGTCAAATATTGAATGATACAATCATTTATTACTTCTTTATTTCATATTTTAGAGAAGTAATGATAATGATGGTAATTAGTCTACAGATCCAATATTATTTTTCTTGCCTTCAGAAATGTGTAATTTAAAAAGAATTCTTTAGAGCAAAGTTTAATTAGAACAAAGTATTTTGAGGAAGATGCTAGTCTGTGTGTGAGACTCAGAAGTGGACACTGGTCAGCGTGGAGAACTAAATGATAACCTAGGTTTCAGATTTAGAACTTATGTAGTCGTTATTGCTAGGAATGAAAAGCCAAGAGAGGCTGAAGTTACTGTTGACTCTAGGTTTATAAATGCTCCAAATATACTGATAACCATGTATTGACAGCTGAGAAGACAGGTGAGAATAGATGTAACTGGGGTGGAGGAGCTGAGAATTTATCACCTAGAGAGAGAAGGAAAGTATAAATGATTAATAAGCTGTACCTCATAAGGTTGGTTCAATTGATAGAAGTTTTTATTTTGTGTGTGTATGTATAAGAGAGAGAGAGAGAGACAGAGAGACAGAGAGACAGAGAGACAGAGAGACAGAGAGAGAGAGAATGTGTGTGTACGCATGCGCATGTTTTATATGTGTGAAGGTACATATGCTTGTGCTTAGATGTGGAGGCTAGTGAAAGATGCCAGGGTCTCTGTTCTATCCTTCTCTGCCTTATTCCTTTTAGACAGGGTCTCTCACTCAATCTGGAGCTAGGTTGGGGGCCAGCAAGTCCTGGTAATCTGTTTCCAGCCCTCACAAAACTGGTGTTACAAGCATTTGTGTGTGACCATGCCTAGCCTTTTACATGGGTGCTGGGATCTGAACTCAGGTTCCCACACTTATGTAGCAAGCACTTACCCACTGAGCCATCATGCAACCCTAATTAATAGAAATATTATGCATGGCATAGGATAAGTGCTCAATCATGATATTATAATTACAAATAGTTAGAACTCTACTGAATAAGTTGATATTGCCCCAAAGATAGAAAAACTTGTGCTGGGGAGATTGTCCAGTTGGTAAAGTGCCTGCTGTTGTACAAGTATGAGGGCCTGAGTTTGATACCCAGAACTCAGCTGGGCTGGATAGTAAGCCTATGACCCTGGAGCTGAATAGAAGAGCCAGGAGGTAAAGAGTAGATATCTGGAGATCACTGTTTAGTCAGCCAACCAGTGAGCTCCAGGCTCAGTGAGAGACCCTGTAGTGGATAGTGATAGAGGTAAACACCCAATGTTGAGGTCTGGTCTCCACACTCATGTGCACATACACAAAAATAAAATACAATAAAAGACAGAACTATAGTGAGATGTTAATTATAAAGTTGATAAAGTGCAATGGACTTAGTCAAATCAGTAGAGAAACTACTGGGAGGAGTTAATTTAAAAATCAGGATTCCATTGCTATACTGTTTTCAATCTGATTTTCCTTATGGTCTTCAGACAGAAGCAGCACTCTTGATGCCATAGAGAATAAATAAGGGGTGGATATGATGTGTTCCCCTTTTTTTTTTTTTTTTGGTTTTTCGAGACAGGGTTTCTCTGTGTAGCTTTGCGCCTTTCCTGGAACTCACTCTGTAGCCCAGGCTGGCCTCGAACTCACAGAGATCCGCCTGGCTCTGCCTCCCGAGTGCTGGGATTAAAGGCGTGCGCCACCACCGCCCGGCCCTGTGTTCCCCTTTTAATCTTGTCAGAGTTATATAAACTTTCATCTTTTTCTTCTTGGAAATGAATGACTTATCCTTGCTCATTTTTTTTTTATCTCCCATCACTGAGACCTCAAACTAAATGATTTTATTCCAGAATTAAATTTATTCAACACCCATGTAGGATGTATTTGACTTGGCTGAGCTATTTAGAAATTTAAGATATGATTATCTCTCTTGTTCATCTTCTCCCCTTCTCCGACAGAGCACAGTTCTCTGGCTTTCTGGAAAACGGATGCTTGGGATGTGAAGCCGTGCTGAAGTCAATTTCAGAATCAAAATTGATGTCACATTTGTATTTCTGCTTGTCCAAGGACTCCAACTGAAATAGCAAAATAAAGTTACTGTATTGCCTCAGTCATTACAGTGTGACTCTGTATGGCACCGTGGTTTTAGTTTTAAGTCAAGAGATCCAAATACCCGAAGCATCCTTGGTTCCTGGCTGTGAAGGAGCAAGCATAGCAAATAGCAGAGCAGCCTGTTCCAATATAAGACATTTTTATAGATGGGTTCATAAACCTCTAAGACAGTATCATCTATCTAATCATGGAAAAAAAAAAAACTTCTATGTCCCACAATTCCTGAGGATGACTTCAAAATCTAGATTGATGTAGTTCCTAAGTAATTCTTATGCTTTCTTGAGTTTAAGAACCATGACAACAAAGAAAGGGATAAGCACTAACTTCCAGGTCCACAGAACTGGACTGGAATCCTTGATACTTTGTTTACATGATGCTAAAAGATCTTCCCTCACCCATTATCAGGCCAACATCTGGCTTTGGCATCCCTCCTCTGGGTATGTCATACTCTTTTGCCCTTCTCTTTTTCTGTTGTATCCGTTGGCCAAACTCACCCAAGGCTCTCCTTCCCTTCCATATGCCTTCACCTAAGATGAGTGTTCCTGGAAGCAATGCAATCATCACAATCATGCTGATAGATCCCAGTATAAATCCATGGATGCAACAGATGTTGGCCCTCCAGTTCTGTCCAACACTCCCACCTTCTGTCATTGGTCTGCTCACACCCCTACTCGCTACAGGGGCTATTTCTTTATTGGGTTCTCCTGCTGTGACTTGAATAAGCAGATGCCTCATACTCCTGCTGGTGTACACAGAGCCATGCATTCATGGCCCAAGGGGACCTATCTACTTCTTAAGGTGGTAGCAGAACTTAGTATCACCCACATGGCACTGTTTTTTCCCACATGTAGAATGAAAGAGCTACAAGGAAACAGAGCTTGCACCAAGATTCCAGAGAAAAGTCAACATGGCCAGGCAATGGGTAGTAGGATAATATTTCCTGCAGGGATGTCCTCGGGAGTCAGTGTGTGAACCTGTGAAGATGAAAGCTAGGCTTAAGTCTCTTGGGATGTTGGAGATGCCAGGAACATGGGCTTTCTGCTGAGAAAAGTAGCATGTACCAAGTTGAGCCAGCCCAAGAGAGAAGTCATACTTGTTGCAAATGTCATGGCCACAGGTGAGGGGATGCTCAAGCCTGTTGGAGCTCAGATGATACCACCACAGGCTGTGGATCCTGGTCAACACAGTTTCAGAATTTAACATTCCTTTACTGGGCTAACCTGCTGTGATGTGAACCAGCTGGATTATGGTCTTCTTTTGGACCAGTCTGTAGATGTAATTCTGAATAGTTTTATTAAATAAGAAACAGAACCAAATGCAGAGTAAAGCCCCAGAGGTCAGAGAGCAGTAGCTAAGAGCTGAGACCAAGACTGCCTTCTTACCACCCACTGCTGCTGCCGTCCTTCCCTTGAGAAAGAGACCTACTTCCTGTGTGTCTGTCTTTTTATTGACTTTCTGTTCTGCCTTCTCATTGGTTGTAAACCCAACCACATGACCTCCTTGTCACTGCCTGTCTATACAGACCTCCAGGTCTCTATGGTTGGTATTGAGATTAAAGGCATGTGTCTCCATGCTGGCTGGATCCTTGAACACACAGAGATCTGCCTGTCACGTGATCGGGATTAAGGGCATGTGCTGCCTACCACTGCCAGACTTCTGCTAATTGGCTTGCTATTAGATCCAGACAGATCCCTGCCTCTCATCTGATAGGATTAAAGGCATGTGCTAACGTTGCATGACTTTTGTGTTTACTTATAATGGTCAGCTTTTCCTCTGATCTCCAGGCAAGCTTTATTTATTAGAGCACAAATAAAATATCACCACACACATCCATCATGTGAGGAGGTCACAGTGACAGGATCATGATACAGCTGGTCATATGACATGTGACATCCCTAATCAAGAGAAGAGAGAAATGAACCCATGTAGCTTTGTTCACTTGTTTGCTTGTACTCAGTTTAATTCCTCTACTCTTCCACAGTTCAGGACCCCCTGCCTAGGGAATGGTGCCACCTACAATGGACTGGGTCTTCCCACACTGATTAACTTAAATAAGACAATCCCCACAGGCATATTCACAGGCCATCCCAATGTAGACATCAGTCATGGAGACTCTTCCAGGTGCTTCTAGGTCATGTCATGTTAACAATTAGAGCTGACCTCTCAGTGCTAGGGAGGTCATTTTGGAGCAGGGTACGTCTGTAGCTCCATATTTTCAGGTACTTTCTTTTTTAAATGAAAGATCTTCAAGTAAATTCTCAGTTTTACATCCTGCAGGCCATCAGTGGGTAGAGTCTTGCCTTTAAGTCACCATGGCTATTGTCCTGGCACAAAGTGCAGTTTTTTAATTTCATTTTTATTCTCATGATATATGTTTATTCATTATCTTTAACCTTTTGTCATGTGACCTTGCTAAGTTCATATAGTTATAATATCTCTTGCCTCAGCATGCAAAAGCATTTGCTACCAAGCCTGACAACTGGAGTTTGATCCCTGGGACCTCCATGTGGTGAAGGGAGAGAGCTAGCTCCCAAAAGTTGTCCTTTGACCTCTACATATAAATGAACACACACACACACACACACACACACACACACACACACACACAAAGAGAGAAAATTATGAATAAGATTTTCTGTGTGTTATTGCTGCCTCCTAGTGGCATTTATTGGGTGTATTAGAGTTGTCTAAAGAATTTGATAGACTGAATATGTAATATATATATACACATATGTGCATATATACAAATCTCTCTCCAATGATGATGATGATGATGATGATGATGATTGATGGGATTTATTAGACTAGCTTACAGGCTGTATCCAGGTAGTCCAACAATGGCTGTCTCATGATATAAAGACCAAGAATTTGGTAGTTGTTCAAGGCTGGATGACTCAGCGGTCCCTCTCTGGTGCTGGAGTCCTAGAGGATTCGTGGAGAGCTGCTGGTTTTCAGTCTACACTGGACTCTTGAAGAAATAGGTTCTAATACAGGCAAAGGAATGCCTCAGCAACAGGATAGGTGAACTTGCCAGTAAGAATGAGGGCAAGCAGGTGAAAAGCACTTTCCTTCTTCCAGATTGAGGGTGGGCCTTCCTGCTTCAAATGCTGGGATTAAGAAAAGCCCTCACAGGCATGCCCAGCAGCATGGGTTTTCATTGACTGCAGATATAGTCAAGTTAGCCATCAGCCTCAAAATGTTCACAAAAGACTTGGGGAAGACTAGAAATAGAAATGTCCTCGTGTCAGGTGCTGGACAATTTTTCAAATGCACCATCTCCATTTTACCAATTGTTCCATAAGGAAGCTAAAGAAATTATGTAACTTGGATTTCTGCCACACATCACTAAGGAGCCCCACGACCCAGATACCTAGACTCCAGAGTATTGGCCTTTGTTCTTTGGCTACACTTCTAGTAAGTTCTGATTTTCCCCAGTGGCTTCCTGAAAATAACTGCTCAAAAGCTGGGATTTTACAGCTTAGTGCCAGAGGGGTTTGCATGAAAAAAAGCATTGAATAGAGGAGACTGGAACACCCTGCTAACTGATTGTTTCTTTATTCTGATACTAGGCAGGGTGACATACAGACTTTTGGTGTGTGTGTGGGGAGGGGTGGTTAGAGCCACATTTTTTCAATTAATAACCCTTAGCATGAGTTTCTCCAAGAAGCTGGGCTGGACAGCTGAAGTAGAAATGGAATGATGAATATTTCTTAGTTCTGGCTTAAGGAATCCAGAGTCACCATACTAAAGGCAGTGACCTTTTCAATCTTTATTAATGAAGAAAAGAAAATAAGCCTTTTCCTCTCTGCTCTCTTTAAATTGCATCGATTTGTGGTGTAATTTATACTTTTGTGGTCTCTAAATAGAAACTTCTGAATCACTTCCCATCCAATTTAAGGAATTTGCTGGTTATGGGTCTGTTCTGATATTTATCTCTAATATGTTTATATAAGACAACAGAGGAATGATTCTTAGTTTTTATAAATTGCTTCCAATCTAGATAGTTAAGTAATTCAAGATTTCAGTCTAATGATATTTTAATAATAGAAAGTGGTGGAATAAGCAAGATGTCTCAGTAGGCAAAGATGCCTGCTACCAAGCCTAATGACCTGAGTTTGACCCTTCAGACCAAGTGACTCCCATAAATTGTTCTTTGAATGTAATGGCATGTACACACACACACACACACACACACACACACACACACACACACACGGTAAAAAAAAAAAGTAAAAAAGGTAAATCATGAATAAAATTTGACTGTACAAACTACCAGCTTTACACAAAAGTGTACAGAGCCATTGCTAGTTAATTCTTTTTTAAAAATGTGGAAGATCTTCGTCAGTCCATCTGTCTTAGTTACTGTTTTATTGCTGTGAAGAGACACCACGACCAAGGCAACTCTTATGAAAGACAGCATTTAATTTGGGGCTTGCTTACAGTTTCAGAGAGTTAGCTCATCATCATCATGGTGGGGTGTGTAGCTCAGGCCCCTGGGGTAGTCGCTGAAAGCTTTCAGTTCTGATCCACAGGCAGCGGGTAGAGAGAGAGGCTAAGCCTGGCAATGTGGGCTTGTGAAACCTCAAAGACCACCCCCAGTGACACACCTCCTAGTTCTTCCTAACAGTCCACCACCTGGGAAGCACACATTCAAATATATGAGCCGATGGGGTCATTCTCATTCGAACCACAACTGTCTCATGTCAAATTCCTCAAAAATGAGCAAAGAGCAAAAGAGATTCTACCATGGAAGACTAAAAGGGGCTAATAAGAAGCATTAACATTTTCAAAGAGTAGAAATGCAAATTAAAAAGTCATACATTTTTTTTAAAGATACAGTTTGCACAGATCCAAAATGTTGTTAATGTGACTCTGACCCTCTCCTAGATTGCTGTGTGCCTTACAGATTTGCAAAATAAGTCTGGAGTAATTTGGGGGAAAGGCCTTAATGCTTTCTTATGTCCACTGAAAATCTCTTATATAGGCTGGAAAGATGGCTAAG